TAAGTACTTTTTATAACTAACTTGCAAAGTCGAATCCATGCTAATCTGAACTTATGTAAGTCTTCACAGACCTTCCCTCTTTAAATTATTATCTCAGGTTATTGCTGAAAAATCTGACCTTTACTGTTATAATTGTAGCAGCTCCTGAAGTGTTTCATTCCTCAGTTTAGCTCTTTCTTCATTCAGAAGCCATCGTTTAGAGCCAGTTTGATCGGCCTAATTACCTTTTTAATCACAGAGACTGGCACTCAAGTTCACACAGTAAAATCAGAGTCAAAGCGTGGCGGCCTCCACCCCCGCTGGCTCTAACCTAATATTGTTTACCGCTCCTATGAAGATGTCACCAGCAGCAGCACTGTTTTATCCACTTACAGCATTTCAAAGGAATGCAGAAGGCCTCGTGGGTTCTTAAAAAGCTTTAAATAGTCTTCAGCGCTGATCCTCAAGGGGATCGGCGCATGCCTTAAAAGACCTAATTTAATAAATTTGCTCTTTAGGCGTTCTTCTTTTCGATTTGCATCGTCTTATTACAGATTCATTCACATGCAGCCTTTTTTAGGTCTAAATAACCACTCTCTTAGTGAATGCTTAAGCATACATATTTTACTGTATCAGGACGACCACCTACAACCTTTTTCAATGCAGCAGGGTTCATTAGCACCTAAGCCTATCTATGCCTAATGTAAGCACTGCTACTTTTCTAATTTTCCACTAACAATTCTCCTTGATCTCCAGTCAAATTTATGCAGGAGGGAGAGCAGTGCATTAACACGGTACGTTCAAATAAAGAGTATATGTACATACAATGAATTATAAATGGCACACTGCGTTTCACATTACAAGAGGAAAAAAGAAAGTGTGCATATGAGTATGATGCTAAAAATGAATATTAGCAAATCGAGATAGTGAACTGAGTTTGCACAAGTATAAAAATTTGCACAACTCTATGGAAACAGGAAACTATAGCAATTCTGATCCCCTCTGAGAGTAGATAAGTCTTTCAAAGGTATAAATCCATAGACTTCCACAATAAATAACTAGAAAGAACCAGAGTTGTGTTAAAAAAAAAAGATTTACCAATTCTGAATCGATTTTCATATTAAGTTCTAAAAATCGATTAATAAAACCCACCATTTTTTTAAGAATACCTTTTCCACTGCTCTTACAGTCGCCATTAACAAGCATCACTTTATCAATTTGCTGTAAAATCTTAATATACTAGTATCAAGGTGATAATTACACAGTCATGTAATTCAAGTAACAGCTTTTTTCTTTTTTTTACACTTACTACCAGTAGTCTAGTTTTAGATCAGCATGAATCAAATTTAATGGAAAAGAATTAATTCTCAGTCTTGAGAATCGAAAATCCACATTGAGTCGATACCGACCTCTGGCAAGAACTTTGCAAGGTCTCTTTCTTTGTCACAAAATAATTGAAGAACATTTTATCATTTGTTAATAAACTCTAACAGATATATTTCTTTGAAATAGTTTTATTAGGCAGCCAGGTTCTTACTGGAACTCTATTCATAGGCTGTTGTTTTCTGATCCATAGTCATGAGATAAGCTAAGCCCAGACATCCCTTGGGGTAAAAACTCTCTAGTTTCTTATGTTGTATCCCTTGGTATTCACCAACCAGAAGTGATTTATACTTCCTTTAGATATTCTGGATCCTCTCCAGATTTTGCTGAGATGCATGTGGAAATGCAAAGCAGGGCATCCTGAATATATGAACCAGTCAGCTGTTTTATTTGAGTTAGTACGGCCAATGGTTGAACTCTGAGCTCCTCAAATCATCTTTAAGGAAGAGCATGGAAACCCTAAAACAGGAAGCATTGTTCAGCTGCTCGTACCCAGGTTGTTCACCATCAGGGGCGCAACCACATGTATTCTAAAAGATATGCAGACACATTACAGGCACTCGAGCCACCCTGATAGATTGTTTTGTTTATTGGTGTTGATAAATCATATTTACTCAAGGACTAATAAAATGTACAGCTTTTATTACAGGCTTCCTTCAAACACTGGCTCTCTGTTCCACTCTCTTATCTACAGCCGTCTTTCCCACATTTTCCTCTGTGGTGACAGACTTGTCATGTCTCCCTGCAATGAATTTCCCAAAAGGACTCTGTAAATAGGTGATCAGCAGAAATTTAGACTTATGTTTTTGGTGGCTTAACTAGTCAGATTGTTCCTATCTGATTGTTGATTTAATCTAAAGCCGATGCCATCACCAACCTTATTTCTGTCTCCCTCACTCTTTGCCCGTATGATTCTCCGGTAAGCCATAGTTTTACACAACAAATAATTGACAGGAGTGAATTAATCAAACAATTCGCTCATGCACTTTTTCTGTAACTTAGCATGAATTAGCTGATCGTACACATCTACGTAGTATTATATCAACCTTCCCGTCTGCCCTGATTAGTTCCTCTCTTCATCTCTTTTCCTCCATCCTCAAAGCTGAATGGGATTAATTTGGGGTTAAGGAGTTTTTGAATATACAGCAGTCACATTAACACCATCACATATATAAAAATTACTGTTTGAATTTGAATGTTATACTTTAAGTCATCAGGTACTGACTGGACTTTATTAGATCAGAGTTATCAGATACATCACAGTCTTACTGTAGTGTTTTATTTGAGTGGAGACATTTACATTCAGAGTAACACTCAAGTCTAATAATCTGTTTGATGCTTTTATTTATAATCTAGTTAAATAAATGATTACTGTCCAAACAAAAAATAATCACAAACAAGTGCTCTTATTTTTATTTTTTTTTTTGTCATTACAAGTGTTCACTCCCTGAAAGTTGAAATCTAAGTAAGTATATTTTTCTGCAATATTTTCTCTTGATTGAAGCAAAATAGGATTATTAACATAAAAAAAACTGCATTATCGAATTTTAAGTGCACAATACCTATCTTGTAAAAAAAAGCAAAATTACACATTTTCATGGGAGATTATCCTATTTATTTCCAATCAATTCAGTTTATTTATAAAGCACCAATTCACATCACATGTCATCTCAAGGCACTTTACAGAGACAATTCAACCAGATCATACAGTCTAACTAATTCAAAGTTATCTATCCATGGAAAATCAGCTGATTTCATCGGCTCATTGACTCAACGGCAATCCCTCACACAGCATACTTGTAGCGACAGTGGAGAGGAAAAGCTACCTTTTAACAGGAAGAAACCTCCAGAAGAATAAGACTCAGTGTGAGCTGCTTAAAGTAAGAAAAAAATTACTTATTTTATAAAATTTTACTTATTTTATTTTAGTTTTTATCTTACAGTAGAGAAGAATGAGAGGAGTCAACAGTTTTTTTTGCATTTCACTCTGTTACTCAGAAATGGTTTGATTTAGATAAACATTGTTTTATACAATAAACTATCATCTGCCTTTTCATTCTTAAGTTGGACTCAGAATCATTGCACTCTTCCTCACATCACCCCCCTATGATTGGAGAATGTGGGCATTTCTTTACAGTGCAGTTAAGGCATGTGCTTTCTTTCGGGGGAATTACTTACATATTCTTGAAACCATAGTTTTTACAGTAGAGAGAGGGACTACTGCTCAGACAGCAGAACTCTGGAGATTACTGAGAGATGCAACCAAGCATAATTTTATGCATTACTTTGTTCAAAATATAGCATTATATCATGTTGCATGATCTACGTAAGCCCTTTAAAATCTTCATTGACGTCTACGGTCTTTAGGGGTTCCAAGCTTTTGGGGAACACAGTTGGTTGAATGGCATGCATTATTTTTGAATTAATTCTTCTGGTCACTACATTTATATATTTAGTGTAATCGAAAGAACTTCTCCTGTTCTTGTCCTTTAGCAGAATGTAAAACCCAAACACCAAGCAAGCTAACAGTTTTTTCTTTTACATCATTCATTTAATAAGTGGTCTTAACATCTAAGATGCTATAAATAAATAAAAAAACTAACCTAATTAAGGTTGCTACAACCAAATTATTAACATTATATACAACCAATTCTTTTCATATCCATCTTACCTTCAAAGTATATTTATTTCTCTACCTCTGGTAGTCCTGAAACTACCTTAGTTTTAATCAAACCTGCAGTCCACAGTTGGCTCTGACAGACTCGACTTGCAGGGTTATAATAATGTCATTAGGTTGCAGCTCTTTTATGAGCAAAGCTGCTGATATTGCTTAGAAGTAAATAAACATTTTCTGTTAAACTAATATTTCACCCTGTAGCTTTTTCTCTGACAATGTGCATCAAAAGTCACTATATGGTGATGGATGTTTAGTTCCATGGCGACTGTCATGTCATTAAATATAATCAAATGTCAATAAGATCATGTGGGAGAGATATATAAGCTTCTGGCGAGTTTACATTTACAGGACAGCACCAGATTTTAGTCTCTTGATTTGACACACAGTTTATTGAAGGATAGTTGATGAGATTTTAAAGAAGCAAAGGAGTAAGGGAGGTAAAGAATGCCATGTTATCTTCAGTCTTTCCTGGGTGCAAGCTTGAGTCTAAATCCATTGAAATGTGCAGATTCCCTGCATAGTTCTCTCTGAAGGTTCCATTACAGCTTCCTTATTATTTATACTTTTTGTGAAATATTCTGTTGGAGACCGACTGCTTTGTTTGGGATCGTTGTCACAATGATATTCTTACTTTCAGTCTAAAGTATCTGCTGCATGTCTGACTGTGTAATCATTTGATAAAATGCACTATGCACTGCATAAACCTATTTAGGATTCCTACCAGCAAAATCATGAAAGTAACATTATTTTAATAGAGAAACTGAGCTCAATGATGGTCAGTGAATCAATATATTTCACTAGCAGTGTCTGTTGCTTAATTCCCCTCTCATCCTTCTTAAATCTTACATAAGCAGTCAATATCAAGTTTGCTTTTCTTGCATTTCATTTTAATTGGGACTTCATTTTGAACAATCACTTTGGCTAATACAAACATTCACACTGAAGACATTAGGCTCCATACCTGAAGCTGCCGCAGGATGTTTTCTATGGGTTGGACCTGATATTTACTGCAACTTTGCTGATAGGCTTCAATTACATCAGTTAGGGTGAAACAGCTTTTGTCTAAAATGAATAGAAATACATAGGCATTCTTGAACACTTTTATATTTCTCTAGGAAAACATAAAAAACCAACTCAAATTAACCTATGAAATGTTTGTTATGTACCTGCTTTCATGAAATACTGGTACAAATTTTAGTAAGCTGTTTGTCCTACATTGTTCAGTCCTATGAGTGATATTTAAACAAATGTGCACTTAAAAAGCAGCTCACCTGTTCTGTCTGCATGTTCGGCAAAACCGGAAACTATCTGTTCATCAGGAGGGAAAGACACATTTTTTCCTGTTTTCTTTCTCTTCTTCTGCTTTTTGTCAGGGTTCTCTGTGTTTTCCTCACCACTATCACTGCAGCGTGTCATCACAGCAAGAAGGTAAAGAACAAAACGTATAGTCAGTTTAGCTCAGTCAAGGTAAAAGACCATGACATGAAATAGGAAACTGAAGTTTTCTTGATTCAAAAGGGGTGATCGAAACAAGCAGAGCTCTTCTAACTGCTTTCTCTGCTCTGTGGCACCTGGAAAGACAATTCTCTGAAGAACCAATATCTTATTCATGAGTTGTGCTGCGGGTTGCAGGTGATACTCAATATGTTTGTATCAAATGACACATTCAAAGCAGACAAGATCCACAACATTTACATTGCTATCTATATTCGGCATTTGCCACAACATTCAGTAGGTGGGCTGGTAAGGTGAAGGTAGTTTTTTTGTTCTGTTTCAGTATGAGAAAAGCATAAGACATACTGATGAAGACTTTTTTAATTCTACAAAGGAACAGCGCTGAACAAAAACTTATCTGATCTTACTCTTTTACAACTTTTACTGGTAGTGTTCTTTTGTATAAATAAAACGGTGGATATACAATAAATCAACAATTTCAAAAGGGATTTCAAAATCTGTTCAGTTCAGCAGATAGCCCAATAAGTCAAAAATAGGTACTCAGATCTTAAATATGGTAAATGTGCAAAACACATATGTCTTATTTATTTCTTAATATTTTTTTTATAAAATAATCCCAAAGTGTAAGAACAAGGTTTTAACAAAATTAAAGCTATTGTTGATCTTGAGGTGCATTAGTGTTTCAGTTTAAAAACAGGGCCAATAAGGAATACACGTTTTGAAACATTGGTAACTTTTTTGTTTTTGTTTTTCATCTACAAAAAAGAGGGTTTAATTTTCTAGGGTTTTAGGGTTATTTTATGGATGGATACATGGATGGATGGATGGATCATTTATTTATCAGGCTCCTCTCCTATGGAACCCACAAGCACTTTTACCCCTTGAGGCAGACACCCGGTATACATTTAAGGCTAGACTTGAAACTTTCCTTTTTGATAAAACCTATAGTTAGAGTGGCAAAGCTTTTGCTAAGCTATCTCTATAGTTATGCTGCTATAAGCTTAAATTGTTGGAGGACATAGATGACCTCTTTTCATGATTCTTTTTCATTCTATTTCTATTATCCCAATTTGAAGTATTTGTAAGTTCAATCTCTAAAGTTAAGCTCTCTCTTCTCATCATAGTAGCTTAATCTGGTCTGTTCCTGTTTTGCTGTGACACCATCCTGGAGAGAAACATCAGCCGTGAGGCTGCCATTAACACATTTGTTTATAGATATCGGAGCTCGGCCTGTTTTAAGCTTAGTGATATTTCTCTTACTGAGACTAACTGTATGTGCTCTCTTTCATCCTCTGACATGAACACTTGCTTTATATAGTGTCTTGAGATGACAGGTGTTGTCAATTGGTGCAATATCATTTAACTGAATTGAATGGAATAGATAGTGCCCTACAATCATATTTTCAGCAATTGTTTTATTCAATTATCTTTTCATTTGACCTACTATATCTTTTTGTGTGATATACGTTCAAAATTATTAATGATATTATTTAAACCGAACGTAATAATCTTAATCCAAATACAAAGGTCTTTGTGTTTTGTTTTAAGTCATTTCAACTCTATCTTAAATGCTTCTTTAGTTATTTTGCGGGACTGGTGTGGCTCAATTTTAACCCGGGGCCAGAGTTTCCGAGCTTGTTTGTTAACCTTGAACGCAGCTTTACGCTCTGACTATTACGCGTCCTGTCTGACCAATAGAATAGCAGAAAACCGTGACGCTGCTTCCTGAGCGGTAGTTTTGCTGCTGCTCGTTCTTTAAACAAATTTAACCAACGACCCGCTTCAAATAACGCATTGACGGTATGCATTATTATCTTTATCATTGTGAACGAGTATTTTAATTGGTAACCGATGTCTAAATCAAGCGATCTTTAAATAGCTCCCCCGGAAGTGAGACTGCGCAGTTAGCATTAAGCTAACCGGCATTTGTGTCGGTTTGATTTAAGTTCCTGCGGCTCATAGGGTGTTTTAAAGTAGCTTATGTTGCACAAAGATTCTTATAAATGACAGAAAGGAGCCAGTGGAATATTAGAGAACTGGGTTTGGGTGTCCGGGTTTTGATTCTTCTTACATTACTTCGCAATGTCCCTGTTTTTAACTGCGTTTTACCACTATGAGTTGTGTAGTTAGAATGGTTGATGTCCTTATTAAGATGATGTGATGTCAAAAGTTGTCCTGTAAGTAATGTTTCGCTAGAAATGAAGCCAGCAGCAGTCAGGCTAGAACATTTGATTTTCTTTCTTCGTCTTGATATGTAAATGTTTAATTACATTTCAAATACACACAGGCAGTTAAAGTAAAACAAAAAGAATAAACTTAACTTTTACCCTATCACTTTTCCTTTGGATGTCTCAACTACTGCTAATCTTCTTTCATAAAGGATGCTGCAGTGTTTCTGTATTGGGGAAATAATTCAAGGAGCTTTACACGTTTTCATCCTGTGAACCTAAATACTTTCAGATCACCATGTTTCCCTGCTGGAAATTATTAAACTCTGTGATCACTAACACTTCTCCTCTTATAATGTCACAGTTTCCATTCCAACTATGATCTGCAAGGTCATTTTAAAGTTTGCCATTCTAGAGGACATGTTCTATTTTTTTCCATCAGGAAAAGCTATCAGCTATTTAGGTCATTGATGCTGGGTGAAGCTGGCCAATCAGAGAGATGAGCTTCCACTTATGGGCAGTCGTGGGTGAGCGGTTAGGGTGTCAGAATTGGATCCCAAAGGTTACCGGTTCGACTCCTGACCCGCCAGGTTGGTGGGGGGAGTAATTAACCAGCGCTCTCCCCCATCCTCCTCCATGACTGAGGTACCCTGAGCATGGTACCGTCCCGCCACACTGCTCCCTTGGGGCGCCATTGAGGGCTGCCCCCTTGCACGGGTGAGGCATAAATGCAATTTCATGGTGTGCAGTGTTCACTTGTGTGTGCTGTGTCACAATGACAATGGGAGTTGGAGGAGTTTCCCAAAGGGCTTTCACTTTCGCTTTCACTTTCACTTTATAGCTTTAAAAAAAATGTGATCTTTGTTATTTGAAGCTAGAATTATCTCTTACAGTCCTGACCATTCGTTTCAGATGCCCCCTAAATCCAAGGCTGCAGGAAAAGGTAGAGCCCCTGCTAAACGGAAGCTGGCAGAGGAGTTCCCACCTGGAGAAGTCCTGACAGATAATGCAAAGAAGTCCTGGAAGCTTGGAGCTCCGATCGGCAAAGGAGGCTTCGGCCTCATATACTTGGGTATTAGTTCTCCAAAAATGCCTTTAGTTGTCCCGCTCTGTTTGCTTGACTTTATGTGTTTTGGTTAGACATTTGGAAACATTTCAGTGCACTTGTAGATTTTTGAAACCCTTTGCTTTTATTTTTAACAGCTGAACAGAACTCTGAGAAACCTGTTGGGCCTGATGCTGGCTATGTCATCAAAGTGGTGAGACTGATTATGGTTGCATTTTTCAGATGTTTACATGTATTGTACAACATCAACGGCTTCCAAAGAACTTCCTCGGGAACAGAAAAGCAGGATTCATCATCAGATTTTATTTTCTGTTTGTATTTAATTTTGTTCTCGTTGGAAATGAATTACCATACTAGTAATGTGGAGTGAGTGCAGAAAAGTCTTTTAACTTCAGCTTAACTGATCTACTGTAAGCACCAGCGTTATCTGCCAACATTTGGAAAAAAAAACAGGAACCTGTTTTTTTTTTTTTAAAAAGGGACCATCGGATTTGTTCCAGTGAAGCAAGCTTTAGGCCCCTCATTATTTGCTATGTGGTTCCTATGCAACCACCTGACACTGTTTTACATTACTGAGCAGAAGGAAGACAGTTTATCACAGATTCAAGGTGAGACTTTCTTGCGTAATGTCTCCATTGCAACAGATCAAAACCTCAACGCAGAATTTAGCAGCTCGGAATCTAAAGCCAAAGGTTTTTTAGCTATGAAGTGTTGAATGCCAGGATGAGAATGAGTTTCTTCTCCAAGTGGTGAAAAAGCTATCAGCTTATGGTTGACAAGTCAAAGGACAACAGAGCAGGAGCTTGAGAAGGGAATCAAAGCGGCGCTGCAATGATGTGGATCCTGAAGAGAGAGCTGAACTTAACTACAGGTTTCCTTACATTGTCCTGAAATGTCCTGGATTTCATTCAAGCCTTTTTGCAGGTCTGAATAATTACTAATACCTATATATTTTTCCAGACTATGATCCTTATTGTATTGTCTGTTTCTGCATCGATAAAACACCCTCATAATTAATATAGGAGTCTCATTACTTTGAATTATATGATCTAGGTTCTGCAGCCTTTAGCAGATAGAGTAACTATGGTTAGGGAATCTGTCTCTTTCATTATTAACTGTAGCAAACATGTAATAATGAAAGTTAAACCGGTCGTTAAGCCTTATGCATGAACATTCCTGTTGTTTATGTTGAGAGATCCTTTTCATCAGTATAAGTACAGAAAATTAAAGCACCATTTTTTTTCTTGTGTGTGTTCAATATTTGGACCACTTGTGGGTGTTGTTTTGTCCACAGGAGCCACATGAAAATGGACCGCTCTTCTCCGAGCTGCACTTCTACATGAGAGCTGCCAAGCCTGATATCAGTAAGTCGCATCATCCATCAGCTCCCACAGCTAGTCTTGTGATCAGAACACAGAGTGTGTCTCTGCAGCAGGCCAAACAGATAAAACCAAGGCAACTTTCTTAATTAAAACCACCGTGTTGCTGCAGAGAGTTCCTCTGAGGGGGGGTGGGGGGATGGAGCTCTCCTGGCCCTCGGGCCACTGCTCTGCATTTTGTATAATAACAATCCAAATGTCAATCTCCCCTGACAATTAACTGCTATATTACTAAGGAAACAAATGCTCATCTTTTATTCATGTGGGACTCTTGCGTTGTTGGTAAATATTTGTCCCAGCAGCAGATTAGCTCCTGGCCGCGCTGGACTAACAACCCTCACTCACAATGCACACAACTGTAATCTCATGGCTCTCCTACATCAGCAGTCACAGTTTCTTCTGGAAGTTCGAGCAGCCAAACCGTCTCTGATTTAAATGTTTCCTTTTGTTCTGCAGTTCAGAGCTGGTTGAAGTCTAAGAGGCCAAAGCATCTGGGAGTTCCCCGGTACTGGGGCTCAGGTCAGCACGTGAAGGGCGACAAAAAGTAAGTATTTGAAATATGTTTATTGTTTTGAAATATTAATGTTATCTTGCCAGGATACATTTTGGGTTTGAAACCCAAAGTTTTCTATAAAAAAAAAAACAAAAAACAATGAAAGTGGTAACATCATTTGGTGGTTGTTGAGGAAGCACATTCAGTAAAATCTGACTTGATCAAAGATGTTTATTATACAAGACTTGGACCAAAATGAAGATAAACAAAGTAAAAGTGTTGAATCAATGCAGAAATGTGTACGCTGAAGATCAAATTGTAGTATTTCTAGGGGGTTTGCTAAAATATTTGAACAGTGAATGATGTCTGTGTTCGGTGTTTGCTTTGTTGTTCCTCGTAGGTATCGTTTCATGGTGATCGATAGGCTTGGAACTGACCTGCAGAAGAAGTTTGAAGAATGTGGAAAGAGATTTCCCAGGAAACTGGTCCTGCAGCTCGGCCTTAGACTGGTTGGTCATCAGTTACTTCAGTGCTTTCATTCTCATGTTGCTGTATCTACTCAGCTCTAAATAAATGGTATACAACTGAGCTTTGTCACCAGAGCAAAGACAATCCTGGCAGGTGCCAAAGAGTTGAGTAATCAGTTAATTGGGAGCAGATGAGGAGAGAAGCAGCTAGAAAGGAGCCAAGAGGGAAAGGAAACTGACAGGGGGGCAACAGAGAGTAACAGAAAAACAAACACTGCCAGAAAACCACTACAAAAACACAAAATTGCAGTGAAAGTAAAAAGAAACCCAAACAAAGTGCAGAACCTCGACAGTCAGAACTCTTATGGAAATATTTTATTGGGTTTACTCATACACAGCTGTTTCTTCACCCTTATTTACTAGAGTGATTGAACCTAAATAACAGAATGACCCAAATCATTTGTTAAAACATTTTGACAATTGTTTCAATCAAGGCATCATAACTAGCATTATGACAATAAAAAAAAAAAAAACTGCCGAGAGCAAAGTCTTCAGCCTGAAATTGAGCTTATAAAGTGAAGATTAATACTTTTCTTATTAGGTAGGTATCAGGAAATCTGACAGCTGAAACCTGATAACCAATTGAAGATCTCTGTAGTGAGCCCAGTCCGTCTGTCATTCCCCAATATGGTGAATAGGGGTGAGTATTGCCATGGATGTTGCAATACGATACGATCACAATACTTTGATCTTGTTATGATATTATCAGGATATTGGAATGTCACTATATATTGCAAAAATGATCCCAGATATCAAGCAGGCAAGGCAATTGGCCGATGGAATAAGACGATTTATGTTTATAAATAAGAACAAAAAACAACTCCATTAACTTACCTCGAATGCATATCTAAGTGTCTTATTCAATAGGCAAAAATACTTACTCCTTATATTGAGGCTGAATACTGTTATTTTAGGGGTGTATTTTTTTTTTTCTCAATTTAAGATCAGTTTTCTTATTGTTCTTAGACGTGTACTTATAACTGATAAACTATCTCACTGCGGGTGACCACTAGCTGCAAACATGTATTGTATTTTATTTTCATATTTCACAGCTGAAATTTGTTTGACCTTTAAATTAGGTCACTTTCCAGAGGAGATTGTTGAAATTAAAGCTAGGTTTTGAAAGCAATATACACTCACCGGCCACTTTATTAGGTACCCCATGCTAGTAACGGGTTGGACCCCCTTTTGCCTTCAGAACTGCCTCAATTCTTCGTGGCATAGATTCAACAAGGTGCTGGAAGCATTCCTCAGGGAGTTTTTTTCCTCAGGTCCATATTGACATGATGGCATCACACAGTTGCCGCAGATTTGTCGGCTGCACATCCATGATGCGAATCTCCCGTTCCAACACATCCCAAAGATGCTCTATTGGATTGAGATCTGGTGACTGTGGAGGCCATTTGAGTACAGTGAACTCATTGTCATGTTCAAGAAACCAGTCTGAGATGATTCCAGCTTTATGACATGGCGCATTATCCTGCTGAAAGTAGCCATCAGAAGTTGGGTACATTGTGGTCATAAAGGGATGGACATGGTCAGCAACAATACTCAGGTAGGCCGTGGCGTTGCAACGATGCTCAATTGGTACAAGGGGCCCAAAGAGTGCCAAGAAAATATTCCCCACACCATGACACCACCACCACCAGCCTGAACCGTTGATACAAGGCAGGATGGATCCATGCTTTCATGTTGTAGACGCCAAATTCTGACCCTACCATCCGAATGTCGCAGCAGAAATCGAGACTCATCAGACCAGGCAACGTTTTTTCAATCTTCTATTGTCCAATTTCGATGAACTTGTGCAAATTGTAGCCTCAGTTTCCTGTTCTTAGCTGAAAGGAGTGGCACCCGGTGTGGTCTTCTGCTGCTGTAGCCCATCTGCCTCAAAGTTCGACGTACTGTGCGTTCAGAGATGCTCTTCTGTCCACCTTGGTTGTAACGGGTGGTTATTTGAGACACTGTTGCCCTTCTATCACCTCGAACCAGTCTGGCCATTCTCCTCTGACCTCTGGCATCAACAAGGCATTTCCGCCCACAGAACTGCCGCTCACTGGATGTTTTTTCTTTTTCGGACCATTCTCTGTAAACCCTAGAGATGGTTGTGCGTGAAAATCCGAGTAGATCAGCAGTTTCTGAAATACTCAGACCAGCCCTTCTGGCACCAACAATCATGCCACGTTCAAAGTCACTCAAATCACCTTTCTTCCCCATACTGATGCTCGGTTTGAACTGCAGGAGATTGTCTTGACCATGTCTACATGCCTAAATGCACTGAGTTGCCGCCATGTGATTGGCTGCTTAGAAATTAAGTGTTAACGTTCAACAGGTGTACCTAATAAAGTGGCCGGTGAGTGTATGTAATATATCTTTTTATTTTATTTTTAATGAAACATAGGTCAGGAAAAACAAAAGATGAATTTTATTTGTTAGGAAATAATTGCAGATTCAATTTGTAAGCCATATGGCCCAGCTTTACTCCCATGTCTGACTTGCAGATTGGCTCATCCTGTCTTTAGATTTTTTTCCCCTTTTCGCATCATCTGTCAAAAACAGTGATGATTCCTATCTCTGATGGAGAAGGGCTGTCTGTCATTCCGCTGCGCCATGACAAGTAATACAACAAACACAAAAATGCTAGCTAAAGTTAGGAGCAGTGTTTTTACTCCAACTTTTAAGAACCCTGACATGTATTCACAGGTAGACCGTCTGTTTCCCTGGGCCTCTTAATCAGATAGATTATTGTATATTCAGCTAATTAGTATCTTGTCTTTGTACATAATTTTTGCTGTTCTCTATATTGTCCTGTTCACTGTTAATTATACCGTACCTGCCTTTTGACAGTGACAAAAAACCTTGTTTTGTGCTAATGCCGATATATTTACATTTATGCTTAAAGCTGATGAGTTAATTGATGTGCATTTTCCTGATTCAATGAATTAAAAAAAATAAATGTGAAGCCGGTGGGAATGAAGTGGGTAGTTTTAAAAAGCTAATTCTCACATGGCACACATTTAATCATGAAACATTATTATTTTCTTTCTTAATTGCTTATTAAGTAGCAATAAACAACACACATCTGTATACAAAGAATACCATATTATTTGTTTCATCTCATTCCCAAAAGTTGGGATTGTTGATCAACCTTTGATTTTTTTTTTTCCAGGAAATGTTTTTTTGTTGTACAGCTGAGATAAATCTTCAAGTTTTTAACATCCGTTAAGGGATGTAGCCAAACTCTAAAGACCCTGCTTGAGTTTTTTCCTTAGCAAAACACTTTCAAGCAGCAGTTACCACAGTAACCTGCATCATGATGACAGAGTAAAACTTGAGTTATCCTAATCTTGCTGTCTTCTTTCAGCTGCTATCCTGGCTCTTTAAAGCTGTGATTTTTTTCTCATGGTTTATTACAGCATTTCAAATTGTCTTTTTTATAATAAAAAGGAACAAAAATATCCCTCTTTTATCCCACAACGGGGGCATTTTCCCTTTAAGTTTAACCCATTCCTTTAGGGAGCAGTGGAACCATCTGGAGTTAAGGACCCAGAGTGAAGGTCTTAGTTCTGTTTAAACCGGCGGCCTTTCAGCCTCTGGTCCTGCACTGCAAAAACGATCTAGAAAAAAGTCAAAATGTCTTAAATTAAGGGTATTTACCCTTAATTTGCATAGGTACATAAGATGATTTGCCTATGGAATGAGGTTTTTTACTCTTAAAATAAGGTAATTAGATAATGTACAATTGAAATAAGACAAAGAAATAATTTTTTCTTATTTTAAATGTAAATTGTTCTGTTCCGTTGGCAAATTGTCTCACTTACCTCCTCAATTCAAGAAAAAATTGCATTTATATTAAGAAAATAATGACAAGTGTGCTCTCCATCCACTAAGCTGCTGCTCCCACATCATCTAGATTCAACAAGCAAACAAAGACGCAGTGAAAGAAACTGATTGACTTCCCTGCTGCGTTGCAATGCTCCTTTCTGCTCACATGTTATCACTGATAGCTTTATCTATGTCTCTTTTTAGCTGGATACTCTGGAGTTCATCCATGAGCATGAGTACGTCCACGCTGACATCAAAGCGTCAAACCTGATGTTGAGTCACAGCGATCCCAACCAGGTCAGTGCCAGTAACACCAGCATGCTGTGGGTTCCAGATCGGTTTCATTGTTGAGAATCAGTTTCTCTATTGCCGCAGGGATGATTGTTTTTATTTTTATTTTTATTGTTACACACTAAAACTACTTCATTAGACCCAATTAAGGCCTGCAGAGCCAGTTTGAGTGTGTGAGATTAAAAAGAAGCGGCTTTGAGCTTTTTCCAGCAAACAAGGTGGGGGAAAATATTTAATTTGGAGATTAATAATGTATCACTGGTGTTGTTATTAAAGAGCTATTTATAAATGACAATTTAAAAATCAGCCCTGCGGGATTTCAGCATCATGTAGAGTGGCTGTTTAGATTTCTTTTATGCTCTTAAATCTGTCTATTCTGAGCTGCAGGGTTATTACTATTTTCCTTTAATAATACACTGATGGTATGTCCTTCTAAAAGCTTAATGTTTGTGATGTTTGTTGGTTTGTGTTTCTTTATTGTCTTTCTGAGAGCTGACCACAGGTCTAAAGCATTACTCTTCTGATCTACTTTGCCCTTGTGACATTGTGCTCCGTTATACTGAAAAATCCTCAGATTGTTCCCTAATTGATTAAAAAAAAAATATTTGTGTGTAGCAGCGTTCTTTGGCAGAGTTGCAGGGAAACCTGACCCTTAGAAAAATCATCACCTCACCTGGATTATTTTAAATTCTTACCAGTTGGTTTCATGCAAGGCTGACGGAAGCTCTCACCTTCTCTTCCTCCAGGAAAATCATAACAATAAAGGACTTCACCAATCATCTGCTTTGATTCTTATATGTGTCACAATCCCGTTCCTCTGTAATCAAAAAGGTCTTAACATCACTGATTCCCACCCATTTCCAATGCTTAACAGGCAATACAGCAGACTTGAGGAAGAGACACTTACCTGAGCTTTCAGGATTTGATGGACATCCTGTATGTTGCTGTGCTGTAGCTAAACATTGGGAAAACTAACCTTCAGTTGCAGCAGCTTTACATATGAGAAGTTAAACAAATGCAAAGTGATTATGGTAAAAGTGCTGCAATAAAAGAAAAACATACAATGTCCACTCTCAGACGAATACCAATTAGATTCACCTTAATGAATAAATGAATAGGAATTTATTTCAGACAATTTCAGACAGACAATTTGACAAACAACAATAATTGAATCAACCAAATACACACAGAAAAGACTAGTTCACATCAACCAAACCAAACACCAATTTCCAAACTAACTAAATTCGCCTGAACATAAATGGATACAAAAAGCCCTCCACCAAATAAACCTGTAGGTATAGAAATGACATTGATTAATGTAAATTGTCTGAAAAGGGGCATGAAAAAGTAAAAATTATTATTTATACCCCTTATCCCTCTATTTGCACGTAAGTTAACTTAAAGTATTTTTTTTTTTTTCCCAATATTCCCACAGAAACTGCTTGGACCTCTGTGGCCTTCAGAACGGCCTTCATTCTTTGGTTCTTATGTTAAGAACATGTTGGGAACGATTTCCAATTATTTTAGCTCAGTTTGACAAATAATCCAAGTCCATGATGAAAAGTCCTGTTTTATGCATCCTTAAATTACTGTGAATGGAGATCAGGTGACTGGAGGTCAGAGGAGAGCAGTGACAATTTTGTTACCTTGAAGAAAGTTGTACACTGTGGTAATAATCATAATATTTCCACTCCACTACTACCATCTTTAACTGTTGAGACCAGTCTTTAAAGTTGGTCTTGCCAAATGATGAACCGATTATCTGAATATTGAGACTTAAATCCAGGCTCTTCTTGGCAGAAAGTGCTTTTGTAAAATGTTATCTGTTTCCTGTTCTCAGGTGAAAGGAGTGAGTGAAACTTGTTGTTTTAGCTGTTTCAAGGTTCGCTGTATTTTGGGATCACAGACGGTTCCTCTTACCTTAAACCCAATGGTTACTGGATCAGTTGTCTTTTTTTTTTTTTATTCATCTAACAAGAGACATCAACAAGAATTCTTTTTTATCAGGCAAATGTAGAAATTGTTGTTTTCCCTTTTTTTTTCCTACAATTTTTGTAAACTCAAAGAGATAATTGTGATCCCGGTAGATAACCCCAGACCAGTCTGCCTGGTACCAACCACCCTTCTTCTTTTTTTTTGTCCCCAATTATGCTTGTTTTTGATTTTTCTAGTTTCTCATGTTTTGTTAACAAACAATAAAATGGAAATGCAAACAAACTAAATTCGAGTTGTAGCATTCCCTGCCTCCTTTTCTTCTGTTTTGGTTTGACTGTTGTAGCCAAAACTAGAAAACTGGTCAACTTTATCCTGCAGCACACTAACATATCTTCAGCTCATTGACATCTTCGATTAGATGACCTTAACGTGTGAAAATCAACTTGCTATCTTGCAGGTTTATTTGGTTGATTACGGACTGGCTTACCGGTACGCTCCTGAGGGTCGCCTCAAAGAGTACAAAGAAGATCCAAAGAAATGTCACGACGGAACCATTGAATTCACCAGCATCGACGCCCACAAAGGAGCATGTAGGTCCAAACCACTGAAATCTGCTTAATCCAATGTTTTTAGATTCTCCTTTATTTACTGTGTGCAATAACATTATTCCACTGTTAATCTCAGCAGTATATTATATGATCAGCAGGTTGTTAATAAAATCAAAGTAGGTTGCACTCTGTTATTACATTTATGGATCAGTGATTGGTAATTCAAGGGATGATGTGTCCAAGCCTGTGTGTTAAAGGAAGAGGAATCCTTGGAATCGGATTAAGATTGATCCCCTGATGGGAAAACAAAGTAAATAAGTGGATTTAAGCAGCCCATTATTATATCAGGCAGGATTTATTGTATTTCTTTCAGCTGTTCCTGGTGTGATTGAACCTTTTTCTTATGGCTGCAGCTCCCTGCAGACGCAGCGACCTGGAGATCCTCGGTTACTGTATGGTCCAGTGGCTCTGTGGTCGGCTCCCCTGGGAAGACCGACTGCAGGATCCTCTGTACGTCAGGGACTCCAAGATCAGGTGGGACTGAAACACCAGAGGGCGAAATCATAAAGCCGAGCTGGTTTTCAAAAACTTTTAAAAGTGTCTTAAATGTCTTTGGTTTACAGGAGTCAGGAGAACATCTCAGAGTTTTTGTCCCAGTGTTTCTCTGCTCAGGACAAACCAGGTAGTTGCTTTTTTAAAAAGGAAATCAGTTGCTAAATGCAAACTCAGATGAGTTTAAAACAAAAATATACCAGAAGTTTATTGAAAAGCACAAAATAGTTGGTTTGGTGTTTGTTGTGAAAGTCAGTCAGCTTCTTTGACCTGAAGCTCAAGAGATCTAATGATGTTGCCTTTTATCTCTGTACAATTAAAGCTAATACAGGTGTGGTTTGGTTGTAGATGAGATCCAGAGGTTCATGGAGGAGGTGAAGTCTCTAGGCTACCAAGATAAACCTCAGTATGAGAGGCTGCGATCCATCCTGCAGAACGGGCTGAGGAGCATCCAGGCGGAAGATGACAGCCAGCTGGAGTTCACACCTCTCAGTGGAGTGCCAGCACTTCCTGCCAAGGTCAACACACCCACACACACGCATACACATCCTTAGCCTTTCAGATATCAGCTCATTATCAACCAGATATCCGTCTTCTTTTAAAAGCAGCTTCCTGGAGTCCCGTAACAATTCCCATAATGTATTTTTATAAACCTTTTTATTGTTGTTGCAGCGATTGTTCTTTGCTCTTTGTTTCTGTGTCACTCCTACTCTTTGTGCATATGGAAGATACCAACAGGGACCAGTGTTTCCAGCCAAAAGGTTGCCGGGTCTCTGCGCTGGTTATTGTATGTAATTATCCTGCCAATCTGTTCACCTCAGCGGGCGCTGCATAGCCATTGTTAGGCATCACATCGAAGAAATGGGAAAGAGGAGTTATTGAGAGAAATGATGGCCCGCTGATGGATCAGAATCATGATTTCTGTCATCTGTCCATTCAGATCCAGAGGCTCATGGGGCCTTAACAGTGTTTAAATGACCAGAAATGAATTAAAGTTCCTGACAAATTCGAAATTATAAACTAGAACAAAAGCCAAGGTTTAAAGTAGTGGAATAAAACGGTAGAAAACTTACTGATCTGTATTTTACAGTAAGATTCTGCACATATTAAAGTTAGGCTGAGTTAAAGATAAAAGGTGCTGGACATTTCTATCCTTAACAACTTTTTAATGAGTTGTAACGAAACCTTTAGATCAAAGTAGACCGACTTTTTGAATTTTTTTTTCTCCTTTTCTTTTCTGATATAGAAGGCGACTAAGAGGAAGAAAGGAGCAGACAAAACGGAGAGCGACCCTGATGGAAGTCCAAACAAGAAAACAAAGCCCTCTAAGAAAAAAGGTTGGTTTCTGACTATAAATATATAATGCTTTGGAATTGTACCTTTTCAGTGCATTATGGAATGTTTTTTCCCCATTTTCCTCCTGCAGTGTTAAATGGAGTGAACAAAAGTTCCAAGGCTGCTCCCAGACCCCGGAAGATCATCAGCCCTGTGAAGCAGGGTGAACACCGTTCAAAAATGGTAGAGATGGCCACCCAGACATCACCCGCACTCGCTCTGCGATCCCGAAGAGGACATAAAGTCAACACCTAAATGTCCATTTGTTTCCACACTCCTCGTCCTTCTTTTTGTTTCTACCAGTTCTTATACACTGACCCTTTTTTATGCTGTCATACTCTGCTGTTAATTTTTTTTTGTCCAAAGCTAGAGCTTAAATAAAGAGGAAATAATTAATTAATTTGATTATTTTCACTTTTGGTTACATTCAGCATTTTTTTTTCTTCTATTTTTATCTTAGAAAGTGTTTTAAACTGATTAAAGGTTTAATCAAAATGTGCAGCATTCTTCCTGTTGAGGTCACTGTTCCAGGTCACTGGATGGTCTAAGGTAATATCTGGCCTGCCCTTATCATGGCTGAATAAAATGTTTCCTGCAGCAGCTGATGGACAGATTTAGTTTTAGAGGTTTTGCTTAAACTCAAAAAGGAGATTTGTTTACAACAAATAAGAAAATCCCCACTGAAGTCATTCTTTAGGTTAAAAACAAAACTAAACATGTCAGTGAGACAAAAATACTTTAGCTGTTAAACAAATGACCCATTTACACTCATAGAAAATATTTATTCATCAATAATGGTTATGGACCAGCTCCCTGGTCAGCAGTCTTCTAGATGTACTCTGTCGCCAGCCCCTGCTAAAGTTCTGATGAAGCTGTTACCCGGGAGACAACATAATGCCAGAACTTTTCATCTTCCTGTCTGTGTCTCATATTTGACAGAAAGATGTCAGAGACTCTTGTCGGATAATCTGGGTTCTGTCTCCATCACAGCAAGCGCACGTTAACATTTCACACTTGGGATGTTGCTGACAAGCTGTCCATTTTCCCCTCATCTGTCTCCTGTCCTCAAGCCCCTACCTCTCTCATTAACTCCCAACAGGCTACCTCCCCATGGAGGTAGACATCTTCACTAATGTTGGTTGCGTGAAGGCCCTCAGGGGGCCCCTGCAGCGGCTGGTGGCTAGCTATTGATTGTTGCAGCCTCCCCAGCAGTAAAAAGCCCCTTCAACCCCCTCCTACACTTTGACCTCAGGACCGTCACAGCTATGGGTCCACAGTAGGGGGCAGCAGTACATAATGACAGTAAATGGATGTTCCAGAGTGGGGGGCAGGGATGGAAAAGAGAATGAAGGGACTGGCTAATTCATGGGGGGGGGGTCTTACCTGAGCGCCCTCTGCGGTTGGCCTGCTATGGGCAAGCCGGCCGAGCATGAAAACCTCGCAGCAGTCGACTAACCGCTGCTCTCATGATACGGATGCCCACCCTCCCCAGGCCAGAACTCGATAACAGTTTCCCCAGCCAGTGGGTTTCTGTGTTTGTGACAATTGCCAGTGTTTTCTACAGTAGTGGGGGTCAAAACATTAAAGACAAAGAACTGTTTGGAGTTTTACAACCAACCGTTAAAATTGATGTAATCTCATAGATCTCTCCAGTTTAAAAACCAACCCATGTTGTGCAATAACACAGTGATAGACAAGATCTGTACCTTTCACATAGTGGATTAATGCAATACCCAGAAGGGGCTTTAACCTGCATTTCTTGTTAGTTCATCTAGAACTTATGGAGGTCCTATCTCCTTTTCTGTAATTTTATCCTGGATTCTAGTTTTTTCTTAGTTTTAGTTTTTGGTTAATGTAGAGTTTTTATCGGCTCTTTATTCTGGTTTTCAAATGCTGGGTTAAAGGCTTAATCTAGATTAACCCTGTTTTTTTTTTTCATTTTAGTTTTATTGCTGATTTTTGTGTCATTTGTAATATCCTACTTTTATTCTAGTTTTACACTTGATTGATCCGGATATTATGCCTATATTTTTCTCAATCCTATTCCACATTTGATATAGTTTTACCATTTTGATTAATCCTGTTATACTGTACCTTTTTATCTAGATTACATTTATCTCATTGTTTTTGTTTCTAATTTAGTCCTGGATTCAAATCTGGTTAGTCCTGTTTTTTTTCTTCCATTTTATATAGTTTTCCATACTTTTGAACGGTTTATTTCTTATATTCTAGTTATTTTCAAAAGTGATATCAGAATCATAAATACTTTAATAATCCCAGAGGAAAATTACTTTTGTTACACGCTCCAGTTACAGTTTTATATATATATATATATATATATATATATATATATATATATATATATATACACTCACCGGCCACTTTATTAGGTACACCTGTCCAACTGCTCGTTAACACTTAATTTCTAAGCAGCCAATCACATGGCGGCAACTCAGTGCATTTAGGCATGTAGACATGGTCAAGACAATCTCCTGCAGTTCAAAGCGAGCATCAGTATGGGGAAGAAAGGTGATTTGAGTGACTTTGAATGTGGCATGATTGTTGGTGCCAGAAGGGCTGGTCTGAGTATTTCAGAAACTGCTGATCTACTGGGATTTTCACGCACAACCATCTCAAGGGTTTACAGAGAATGGTCCGAAAAAGAAAAAACATCCAGTGAGCGGCAGTTCTGTGGGCGGAAATGCTTGTTGATGCCAGAGGTCAGAGGAGAATGGCCAGACTGGTTCGAGCTGATAGAAGGGCAACAGTGACCCAAATAACCACCCGTTACAACCAAGGTTTGCAGAAGAGCATCTCTGAATGCACAGTACGTCGAACTTTGAGGCAGATGGGCTACAGCAGCAGAAGACCACACCGGGTGCCACTCCTTTCAGCTAAGAACAGGAAACTGAGGCTACAATTTGCACAAGCTCGTCGAAATTGGACAATAGAAGATTGGAAAAACGTTGCCTGGTCTGATGAGTCTCGATTTCTGCTGCGACATTCGGATGGTAGGGTCAGAATTTGGCGTCTACAACATGAAAGCATGGATCCATCCTGCCTTGTATCAACGGTTCAGGCTGGTGGTGGTGGTGTCATGGTGTGGGGAATATTTTCTTGGCACTCTTTGGGCCCCTTGGTACCAATTGAGCATCGTTGCAACGCCACAGCCTACCTGAGTATTGTTGCTGACCATGTCCATCCCTTTATGACCACAATGTACCCAACTTCTGATGGCTACTTTCAGCAGGATAATGCGCCATGTCATAAAGCTGGAATCATCTCAGACTGGTTTCTTGAACATGACAATGAGTTCACTGTACTCAAATGGCCTCCACATTCACCAGATCTCAATCCAATAGAGCATCTCTGGGATGTGGTGGAACGGGAGATTTGCATCATGGATGTGCAGCCGACAAATCTGCGGCAACTGTGTGATGCCATCATGTCAATATGGACCAAACTCCCTGAGGAATGCTTCCAGCACCTTGTTGAATCTATGCCACAAAGAATTGGGGCAGTTATGAAGGCAAAAGGGGGTCCAACCCGTTACTAGCATGGGGTACCTAATAAAGTGGCCGGTGAGTGTATATATATATATATATATACTTACACACATTCAACTACACAAGATAATAAATATAAAAAAAAAGATAAAATATAAATACACATATAGCTCTTCTGTATATATATGTGTATATATATATATATACATGTATGTATATATAAGCATATGTAAGACTAAATCCAAGTAAAGTGAAAATCCAAGTTGTATATAGGTTGTATCTTGGGTCCATTGTCAATTCTTATTTTGGGCTTCCTTCTTAAGGGTTTGACCTGGTTTGATCCAGTTTTTATCCCATTTTAAACCCAATATAACCCTAGGTTTTTAATTTATTTATTTTTATTATACTTTGTTCAGATTTTATTGAGGATAGAGTTGTGCTTAAAAGTTTATATACCCTTCCATTAAAGACAGGGGGAAAAACAGCTATTAGTAAATTTATTTTGAAATTTAAAAAAGTAATAATAAATAAAAATGATAAAAAAAAATTGAAATAATGAATATATATACTCATCTCATACTCGGGTGTATCAGTTTTCTGTCATGTTCAGGAAATATTCAGTCCACACCTGCTGATACGCTCATTGGTTCACTGTTCATGAGCAAGGCACTTTAATTTGTCTGCGACAGGTTGCTTTTTAAGATTTTTTTTTTTTACAAAAATTCAAAAATCACTCTAATTTTTCTAAATGATCAATTCATAAATATTTATTAATTTTATGTGTTATTTGAATTTGAAGTGTGAATGTATCATTTAATGGGATGGTGTTTAAACATTCAAGCACAACTGTAAGTCACAGATAGAAAAGCAACTGTTGCTCTCGGAATTATTGAAGGGTTGTAAGCCATTTACAAATGCATCATCTACAGTGTGTAAGAATTAAGGGCTACTGCCAGCATTTCCTGGATTGGACATGCTAACCAATGAATAAAAAGTTAATAGATAGAACTCAAACCCATAATCTTAAGTAAGCATGTTACAGTTCAAGACCAGACATTGTTGTTTAGAAGGGTTAAACAATATAGCAACAAAGCTTTTATGTGTAGAGTTGCTCCTAGATGTACCACAAGACTTAAATGTATAGAGGGCAATCTTTTATTTCTGGGTGGATCATCTATATAAGCAGTCCTCCTAATTGTCAATCATTCTAGTGATATGTTGACGTTAGGCCGTCTTATGTGTTTGCCCTGTTATCTATCTTTTTCTGCACTTTCAGCCAATATGTGTGGTGAGCTACGGTTTCAGATAGTCACTAAAGCAGAACTTTTTACAGCGGTTCTTTGAAAAATGGCCGAGGGTCATAAAAGAAAAAAGTGTCTATGAAGTGTATGAGAAGAAAAGAAAGACACCAGAAGAGTCAGATATATGCCAGGATGCTTTGCTTGGAGAGCTCTCTTCTCAAAGCATTATGGGATTTGCTGCCACAGTGGCCCGTTGTCACCATAGACTATTGCTAGCTGACAGTGGTGACTAATAACAGATGGCGCAGGCACCTCGCAGTGGAGGAGGAATTATGTAAGCAACGGGGAGCAAAAAGCAGTGATCATCTGTCTGGATGGTCAGTTAACTGAGTTCACTATAAAGTCGACAATATAGTCCCCGTTCTATATAGTGGTTGAGGGATAGGGGTTCAAGATCAGTAACTTTTAAACTTTCCGTAAAAATTCAAAAAAAATATCCACTGGACTTGGTTTCCAAGATTTGAAGACATTTCGCCACCTCTCCAGGAAGTTTTCTCAATTCAAATGTCTGGGTCCGCAGTGAGTTTGAGTCTTATATAGACATGGCCTTGTATCGCTTGGAAGCATGCAAATGGTAACCGATTA